CCGGCCCCGGCGTCGGTTCGGAACGAGGGGTCGGGGCGCTGCTGGGAGGCGGCAGAGGCGTCCCTAGCGTACCTTTGTTGTCGGTTATCTCCGCACGCAGGGCTCCGGCCGCCTTTAGCTTGCCGGCTCTCGAGCTGCCCCTCTCTTGGGGTGGGGCTGAGGGCGGTCAGGTCGGGGCTTAGGTTAGCTTTAACGCGCTTTTCCTCGCTAAGCTGCGCGCGGTGTGCATTGCATAGGCCACTTAGGGGTGTGTGATTAGAAACAGTGCGTTGGCTAAAATCAGCCATTTTAATTGCGGTTTAATTAGTAGGGTTAATCCTGTTTTGTATTTATGCTGGATGAAGGATGTTAGTTTCCCGCTAAATAGTCTCTCTGGTGAAGCAGGCGCTGCTTTTCGAGCAGTAGGAGAAGCACACCTTACTCGTACCTGTCCAGGGCTCGGGAGAGCCCCGAGCATCCATTTATCCAGTGACTTCGGCACGCCAGGCGTTAGAGCGAGCCTCATACACGTAAAATGTCAAGGTGTTTAGGGTAGTAAGAGGAATGCAGTTAGAAAATTGTATGGAGTGTCTGGGCATCTGAAAATGGCGTTCCTTTTGAACCAAAGAAATCCGCTGAGTAAAAGCTTGTCCGGTTCGCGACTCGGCACTGGCCGTTCTTGTTAACGGTATCCTTAGCGGATTTAGAAGTAGAAGGTTTTGTGAATTCACATTGATCTTACTTAGAGGAGGAAAACAATGAGGGCTTGTTCTGGATTTGGAGAGGGTGTGGGCTTTGCTTTTGAGTTTCCGAGGGAACAGTTCACTGGCTGACCCAGACAGAAGTTCCCTGCGTGTGTGAGAGTCACGCTGCGAGGGGCTTGTCCCTGCTGCTTGGCCACGGGTCTCTGCGCCGGATGCTCGATGTCTTCAAAGCTTTAGCGATAAACTTGTGCTGCTTAAACTTTTAATTTTGCTGTAATGTCCTAACAGCACACTTGAGTTTTTGAGCCTAATGCCGGCTTTTAAAACAAATCATATTTATCCACAATAGCTTTGAAGTCTTTTGAAACATTCAGTGTTTTTTTTTTGTTTTTTGCTTAGGAGCCCTTCTTGTATTTAAAATTGGTTACAATAAATGAAATACGTAAACTTCATTTCCCCTACCCCCGCCCCCGTAGACTATCTAAAACGTAGAAATCCTTGTATGTGGAAGAGATGGGTAAACTGTGAAATCCAATTTCATTTAGATGGGTGGTTATTTTCTGAAAGGAAGTTGAAATGAGAGGAGTTCAAATCTAAACTGTTGGAGGTCATCAGTTTTGCAGCTGTTTAATTGGGCATGTAAAGTGAGCTGATACTTCTCTGGCATTTTTTATGGCGAGAGGTAAATAATCACAACACAAGGTTAGTAGATGGCACCAGTTTGCTGTATTTTTTCTGCAGAAACAGTGCAAATGGGTGAAGATGTTACCATGCTTCAAACTTGGAGTAATAGCCTGAGCTTCAGTTTGACAGGATGCTAGTTGGAAAAACAGGGTCAAGACCTGCCAGAGAAGTGAGAGCATGTGTGTATGTTTGCTTGCTCATGCATCCATGCACCCAGTGCTCTTCATCTGTTTTTTAGAACAAGCAATTTACTTGCTTGGTGCATAAGTTTGCAAAAATGTATTTATTTTGCAAAAGGAAATCAGTGCATGCATTAAGACTGCTGTTCCTGGACAGAGTTCTGGTAGTTCAGTATCTCAGGCTCCTGCAACGTGCCTGTAGAAAGTTTGGACGATTGAGTATTGCTCACTTAGTTTAATTAAAAAAAAAGGAGGCAGTAATTTATATCTGAGTGCATGAAAAATAGAACTGCTAAAACTGTGTACCTAACTGCTTTTGGAAAGAAGTTCTTCACTTGCCAGAATGTGTCTTGTGCCATTTTTTTTTTTAATTGCATGTAAAATGTGTTTTACTGGCACAGGCATATATTTGTCCCTGAACAGTGAGCTGTGTCTAAATTTTTTGCTGTCTTCTGGGATGGGAGGTGGGATCAGGCTATTGATATCAACGGATTCGTGACCCAAGGCTTCACTCTGCAGGAGTGAAATGAAAAAAATTGGAGTGGTAAAAATGGAGTTTGTCTGATCCCTCGGATTTTTTTAGAGGTACTCTTTTGAACATAGACTCTTGGTTTACGGTGTTAAGAATGAGAAAGGTTTAGGTATTGCTATATGAGGGGCGAAAGATAATATTTTTGGAAATTAATCTGAATTCAAAGGCTTAAGCGAAGTTGTTTGCAGTGCAGTGCTCACACTTAACTTGATAAGTTGACTCCTGTCTGTTCTACAGAGAGTCTATGTAAGTTCTGAAAATATTTTTGGATGACCTTGTAGCATATCACTCAGGTTAATAACCTGTTACTTTGACCTTCCTCCCCACCCCCTTTCCTCTACCAAGTTGACAAGCTTATCAGGCAATTTCCTCAAAGTATGCTCTGGAGAAACATGACATTAAAAATTCAAACAAAACATTGCAGGTGGATGAGCTGCTGTCCTTACTATGACTAGGAGTGTGGTGGTTTAAAATTATTTTAGTGTGCTTCAGGAACAAACACGTCTTCTGTAGTGGTTTGGTCTTCTTCCTAAATGCTGTTTTAATTGGAGAAAATATTATTAGGTGTCTGTTACATATTGGTAAAAATGTATTGGTTTAGGTGAAGACCTGTATGAGAGGTGTTACAGATCTCCTTCACATTTCTTACCTGCTGCTTTAAAAACTTCCCTCCTGATGTTCCTCCCCACAAGTTCGCATTTAATGTTCCCTTTACTGTGTTTATATATAAATGCAGATAAATGGTGCCCTGAAACCTGAAGTTCAGTTAAAGTCCAACAAGTGCTCCTAGCTGTGATGAACCCAGGTGTTCTTCTTCTTCAGCAGACATACTGTGGGCCTTAAATCTGTCCATCATACGCTGTAGGCTTTTATGGATGTTGCGTGTGGAATATGTCCATGCATACATGCTTACGGAAGGTCACTCATCTTTGTTTTTTCTTAAAGGATGTGTTTCTGGAATGCATAATTCCTAACAGAGGCCCCTTATATGCGTATTTTACACCTACAGTCTACTTACAAATAACATACAAGTGACATAGTGGCTGGGTCTTCGGCAGGAGTTCTATTTAAAAGTCTAGAGTGACTTTTTTTTTCCCTCAGAAAACTCCTAAACTCTGTTAAACACTAGCAGACAGTTATTTTATCTATTAAAAAGCTCTTGAATTTTCATGCTGGCAGTCAGAAAAAAGTTGGAGCTCTGGACGTGCTTTATTACTGGAAGTGGTTTTTGGTTTTTTTTGACTTATCTTCTGTTCTTAAATGAAATGCATTGTATTTGCAGCTCAAGCTTGTGCAGATGTTCTGGCATTAGCCAAAGAAGCTAGAAAGCGAAATCTTGGTCCTCTTCATCCTTCCTTTAATGTGATAAAGATAATAAGAGATGGACTGATGAGAAATCTTCCAGAAAACACTCACCTGTTGTCATCGGGCAGACTGTGTATTTCACTAACCAGAGTATCAGATGGTAAAAATGCATTGGTATCTAATTTTAACTCTAAAGAAGAAGTTGTCCAGGTATGCTTATTTCTGACAACTGTTAAAAGTTTCTGTAACCTTAAGTCCATTTAATGTCATCCATTGGATTTCCATTCTAAACATTTCAGGATATTGTGACTTTGACAGTATTTTAAAGATGAATTCAAGGTTTGTTATGCTAAATTCACTTATGAGTTTTCCCAGTCAATGTATCTGCGAATTGTTTTAGTGAGTAGGTGCGAGGGATCAGCCTTGAAAAGGATAAATGCCTTTAAAGTGCAGTGTATCTAATGAAACTATATCTTTCATGATTAAGAATTTTTTTAAGGTCATTTGTATAAAAGCGATGATCTGGAAACAGTTGAAAATAGCTTTTCAAAATTCTTAATATCAGTTACATAGCTAGTTTAATATGATCCCAGAAGGTCGATATTTGTGTCCCCAGTTAGTTCCTTAGGTCACTCAGAAAACGTATAGCTTGAGTGAATGATCATAAACTGTTCCTTGCTAATTAGCACTTCTGGAAATGGTCTTTTAGTGAGTATTGCCCTTTTTTTCAGATGGAGTGTGGTTGCATTCTAAAAAAGAAATGTGGAATACCCCTGTTCTCTTTAAAATAATGTTTGATGGTGCTTCCCCCCCAACTTCTTTTTATTCAAGCATACTTGCTGAGGATTTTTTTCATTGCTTGCTTGGTTGTTTTTGCTAACATGTAAAGAGATAAAGATAAATTATAATTTCAATAATAGAACAGTTACTGTTTAATTTATATGGTCTCCTTTTCCTACAGGCTTTAATCTGTAGTTCATTTGTCCCTATTTACTGTGGCCTAATTCCACCGTCATTTAGAGGTGTGGTAAGTCCCTATTGTTAAGATCTAAAAATAGTTCTAGGTATGCTGAAAATATTAAGAGACAACATGTATGTTTTTTCGGTTATCCTACTATAAACTAAATACTTTCATGGTAGCTTCTAGTACTGTAACTGTATGTTACAACTTCTGAAAAGAGCAAGGAAACACTAAGCGTGTAGAAGATCTGTTACATGTTTCTCCACCCTGCAAAACACACACATGCTCGCTCTCTCTTAGATTTCTTGCTTACTGATGCAGTAATTAGAAGAGGGTATTCTAAGCTAGCGAGTATTTAATTTAAGGATAAATATTTATTGAACAAAGTGATGCTCATTCACCTGCACAAGTTTATGGGAAGGGTCACTTGTTTATTTAAAAAAAAAAATCTTGTAAGATTGTTTATTGTATATCCTTGTGTTCTTGTTGTAGGTAGATCTGCGTTAAAACTGGATTAAAGCACTATGTTCAATCAGATATATATAAAGCTTTTTTAATGCCTTTTGTCATTTGTATTCAGTGTAAGAAAGGTTGCTTTTTAAAGGTAGAGTGTCAGTGTATTAATCTGTTCTATTACTTCACAGGAACCTGTTGGTTACAAAACCTCTTAATACTTGGTGGCTATACTGGGTTTCCTGAAATCCCCCATTAAAGAGGCAGCAACTGCAGAAAAGTTAGTGTAGTTTGTTGTAGGTATTTTGAAGAACAGGTCTGGGAGCAGACATGCGCTTCAAATCAAGGCAGTGACATTCGTGGCTTTTTGTTACAGGGTTATATTAACTTGCATTGCCTTTCCTTCCAGTTTTGGTGCCCCTTACATAAGGAGAGGGGAAGAATATTGTAAGAAAACTCAAAACATCTTTGATAGTGGTTTATTACAGACTGTTCTCGAGGCAATCTGGAAGTGCTAAAAGGTCAAGGATAGATATGAAATGTATTTTCTTCTTCATGCTGAAAATTAAGCAAAAGTGATTAGAACTGTATAGGGATTTTTCTTTATCTGTGCTTCTAAACCTTGCATGTCTCCTTAAACTCTTCCAGATTAAAGGTGTTATGAAAACAGGACGTTGGACTGAATCCAAGGTTTAGGTGGATCCAGGCTAATCTGGCTATTCAGTTCTTGTCACCAGACAACAATGTTATTTTAAAAGGCTTAGTTCAGGGTACAAAAACATGCAAGTGATGCTTTATTTGTTCCTATTTTGAGGGAAGGGGAAGGAAGGAATCGTATCCTTTTGATCTTTGCAATTATTTTGATATTATTTTAGTGCTTAGGAGGCATTTTTGATGTTACTTGGTAAGAATACCACAGCTGCATATGCTTGGCATGGCTCCTGTAGGGCTTACACGGAGTAGAATGTCGAGTATGTAAACTTTGTAGCATCTTGCTGTTTGCTGGCTTGGTGCTTCATGCATGTATACTTTAAAACAAAGACTTACGTGTAACTTTCAGTAGGTATATCTAAGTGCCAGTTGTGAAGCTTTTGGGTGTAGTGGGTTTTGTTTAGGTTTTTTACCCCTTTCAAACCCAGCGATGGTTTTAGAATAAAAAATTACTAGGGGGAATACATAGTCAGAAACTCCAAATAATTAAAACCATTTACATCTGTGGAATAGTGACTGAGATGCATGCTTCCACCCGTTAATAATTTCACGAGAAGGCTGCATGCTATGGCTCCTCCTATGCCAAGCCTGTTGTATTGTACTTGGTACTTCCACAAAGCACTTGGTGCTTGCACGTGTACTGCAGTGATTGCATTCTGCACCTGTAGGAAGCTTGTCAGTAGCTGCATGCTGCTGGGTCTAAAGAATGTCCCAGAAAGCCGGCAGGTAGGAACAGGCTGCTCGAGAAGAGTATGTTGGGTAAATTGCTCTGAGCTGTCCTCTTCCTAATTCCTAGCTTCTTTCTCGGAATGGTCAGGGAGTGAGTATAAAGGCAGATGAAATTGATAACCCAGGTTGCTCCTGCTCAAATCGCCTGTTCTGTTACATTTACCTTGTACAAGGACCGACAGGTTCTGTCCAGCCTGCTTAGGAAGAAGGAAGATGCAGCCACTGAACCAGCAGAGCTGGTGGTCTTTTGCCACGTCAGAACAAAGTAGCTACAGCTGGCCCCGCTAGCAAGACGCTGTTGTGAGCGAGTGGAGGAGTTGTCTTTAGCCGTAGCAGCTGCTGCACTATAGATTAGTTACCCCCATACACAACTCTTCAGTTCTTGGATCTTAAAATGTCTGAGATGGTGATGTGCTAAAACTACAGGAATGGGCAATTCAACGTGAAGGAGACAAAAGCATGTCCTGGGACAGCTTCTAAACCTGCACTTAAAGCAGAATAGATATCTGTGACTGTTGGCAGGGTTTCTGAAGCATTGTCCATTTTTACGTGCAGTTTCTTGTCCAAATATTTTTGATGCTTTTATATCAAATTCTAATTAATAAGAGTAATTTGAAGTTACTCTTATTCTAACTGAATGGTTTAGTATCACGGAACTTGAGCTCTGAAGTGTAGAGCTATTCTTTTACTCATATTGTTTCTAAGGAAGTACCCTCACAGCTCTTTGGTGCTGTCCTTTGAGGAAGAGGAGACAGCTGCCCAATTTTTTTCTGCATGTTGTGTGGGATTATGGTCTTTAAAATGGACTTGCTCTCTTTTAAAATACAGAAGAATCCCAAATAGAATACTCTTAGGCTATCTATGGAACTATAGGTAGGAATGTTTTATAACTGGCGTTAGAAAGCAAAGCATGCTACTCAAAATGTTTAACCCGGGAGCATAGGCAGAGACTGTTCTGTTGCAGTCTGAAATGCTGTTTAATTCGTGCATGGGAAATCTGCCAGTCAGGAATTTGCAGCCTTTGAGACTTCTTATTTCTGATAATTTTTGTAGCGCTACGTGGATGGAGGAATCAGTGACAACTTACCTCACTATGAATGTAAGAATACCATCACAGTTTCGCCTTTCGCTGGGGAGTGCGATATCTGTCCAAAGGGGAACTCTGCCAACTTTCATGAAATGAATGTGACCAACACCAGCATTCAGCTCAGTTTGGGGAACCTTTATCGTTTAACACAAGCGCTGTTTCCACCAGAACCTAAGGTAACTAACTACCTTCATGTAGTTACTAAAACATCTTTCCATGTAAAAGCCTTGCTTTTGCAGAAAGCTGCAGTAATCCTAGCATTTCACCTAGTCATATAAACTTTTCTGGCGACATTTCTCTTCTTGTTTCTGTTTGTCTTTAATGGTTTGTCTTCATTCTCATTTTTAGTCTCTGTCAAACTGAAAATGGATGTCCTGCTATTTGCTTTCAGTATTTATTTGGGAATTAGCACAGGATTCTCTCAAAATCAACATTGGTAAATTAATAACTGTCAGTTTGTAGTCCTTTCATGTTTACCTGCTAACCAGGTGCTTCAGACCTTAGCAGAAGTTCCAAAGCTTCATGGTTTTGTAAAGTTCTCAATTAATACTTCATGCAGGCAGGTTGCCCTTAAACTTTGCAAAGTGCTGTTAATTGGAGATCTGATGCTCTTGAATTGCCATTGGGGAAGCTGAAAAAATGAAAACAGATTTTGCCAATTGGCTTGGGATACACTACAGAGGAGGGGTTGGACTAGATGACCCACAGAGGTCCCTTCCAACCCCTAACATTCTGTGATTCTGTGACTGCTATAGATGTATTTAATTGAGGGCTTTTTGACCACGTGATGAAAAATGTTAAATTCTACTTATGTAGGCTTTTATTTTTGAATATTTTTTTGTCTAGGACTACTGAGTAGGTGATCTGGTGTTGCATCTGGTGAAAGTTGTTTTCATGTGGAAGACTAAGTCTGAGCATGAGAATTGCATAGCTGACTTTCTGTAGTTTTGGGAAGTGGGAAGCACTGGGAGGGAAGAAGGGGAATTGGCCAGCCTGTTTCACTGTTGCTTGCATCTGCTGAAGGGCTAGTCAAAGAAACAAAAGGGCAGGAAATTCTTGCAAACTGTTAGAATTCTGTCCTTTTAGGTGAATAATTCAGTGCATCTGTAACAGCTGAAATAAGCTCACATACATGTGATCATCTATGCATCTTCACAGTGGGCATATTAACCTGAATCTGTTGAATTATAGTATTGTTAATGTAAATTATAATATTGTTAATGTAGGTTTTTCTTACAAGAATGGAGGGTGAATGGAAGTGGCTTTTCAATCTGCAAATGGTTGATCTTAAGTTGAATCTCCTTTTATTTGTCTGACTCATTTACTCTATGCTTTCAGGTACTAGGAGAGATCTGTGAGCAAGGATATTCCGATGCTCTTAAATTCTTGAAAGAGAATGGTATGTTACACTTGTGGATAATTATTGATGATGGGGTTTTAACCTGAGTTTTGGGGAAAAAATAAAAAAGGCGAGAGGGTTGTGTGTAGCTAAGAAGGAGCTAGGTCTTTGAGGTTTTGAAGGGATCATAAATTTAGTTCTCATAGAAATCACATGGTTGTAGTAACTATTAACCTGAGGTAAGTTGTGCTGCCACACAGAAATTGAACTTTTGGGGTTTTGTCAGATTAGGGTGAAGTGAATGTTAAGGTATTGTTAAGTGAAATTACCAAAGAATTTCAATTCTAGGGAAATCATATTATTAGTATCTTTTGTATTAATTGTGAAGGATAGGAATAGGCTACTGTTTCCCTCTCCTGTGCAACCTGTAGCTTCTTATCACATCCTCTCTGCTATCATCCAAGTGAATTTCTAGGTGCTCACTGCTTATACCCTGTTATAACTAAACATTAAACATTCAAATTTTCTTGGAACCATTTTCTTCACTGTTAAAGAACGTCGTGGTTCTGCTTGAGAGTTTGATTTTCTAGTAATATTAAATACTTAATGAGAGAGTCCTGCTTTATACCTTTCACCAGGTGATTAAAAGTACAAGCTATACAAAGAGCCTATAATTTGTGATTGTCTGTGTTAAGATGGGTACCGCTGCTGTACTGCACCCACAAGTTTCCTGTGTGCATGTTTCCATCTGATGTTAATATCTGAGATTCCTTGCAGCTCTTCCTTGGTGTCTGTCCCCCACGTCCTCTGTGTATTGCACTATTGTCCTCCTTATTCACACTGCTGATCCTGTGATCACCTTTGTTCTTACTCTGTGACACGTTTGTCTTACTTCAAGTAATCAGTGATGACTGTAACCTTCCCAAATTCATTTGTTATGCATCTCCTTCTTGTTACTTCGACTGCAGGAGTTAATTTTTTCCCTGATCTGTAACACTTCAGATAACATTTCTGCAAAATTCACTGTATAGTCTTTTGGCGATTGTCTTTCAGGAGTAATCGTAAGTAGGATACGGATTCTGTTGTGTGTAGGTATGGATCCTAGTCAAATTTGGTAGTCTTTATATGTACATAACTTGATAATGATTTTCTGGAAACTGGGTATAAATACCCTTCTTGTATTTTTCACTTTGTGCTCATTATCTAGTGCTTGTTTCTAAGGTAATTATCAGTGCTATTTCTTAATTGGCACCAGTTTTGCAAGGCAACCAATGTTGATCTAGATGTGTACTTTGGATGTATCTTAAAACAGTATTGTACCCTACTCATTTTCCTTCTCCACCCTGTTGTAGTAGTGCCTCAAAGTACTCATGTGATACCTGCCACGTCAAACTTTCCAAATGTCTGTTGTGTTTTAGGTGTTTTCTTTCAAATAAATACTAAATCAGTTTTACTTCTCTCCTTTAAATCATTTGCTTTCTTGCTTGAAAAGAACTTTGGTAAATGGCTGTATATTTCCAGTGCAGTTTCAGTTAATTGTTCGCTTTTTCCTTTTCTTTAGAACCTGTTTTAAAGTAAGATCTAAACCTGCAAAAGAGTACTCGTCACTATGATTAAACATTTATGGGATTATAAGAGCAAGTGTGTTTGACACTGGGTAGATAATGTTCCCTCAGGACAGGCCTTTGTCTGGATACATAGACTAAAGGTACGCTGAAGACCTGTGGATCAAGCCTAAGTGGATGTTCTTGACTCTTTCAGGTATTCTGAATGACTCGATTTATATCCACTTGTCCTTCACAAAAACAAATCCTCATGAGGCTGCGCAACACATTGACCATACGAAGCAAAAAATATTGACAGAAAATAACAGAGTAGAGACTTTGAAAATGGGAGTACTGAATGACCAGCTGAAGCAAAATCCGTGGCCCTTGGAGAAGAGCATATTTGAGAGTCTACCTCCTAGACTTCGTAAAGGTACATTCTTCCTACTGTTTCCTGTAACTTTGAATAACTTTGATTTATTTGTTCCACTACTTACTCTATAATTTGCGTAAGATGCTTTCTGTTTAATCTTATAACTGCCTGTAGAATTAGAAACTAGCTCAACCCAAAAAAAGTTCTTTAAATACTTAGTAAATGTGAACATGTATATTTTGATTGAGCTACAGAAATAAGATTTAAGCAGAAAGAAGGAGCTGCTTTCAGCACTGCAGAGTGGTGAATTCAATTCTCATTTGGCTTTGGATAAACTTTGTATGTGCACAGTATTTTTGTAAGCATGTATTTCACACCAAGGCTGAACCTCAAATCCAAACACTGGTTATCCCCATCTTGTTTTTGAAACACAGTTCTGTAGATTTCTAATTCTCAGGCTTTCCTGTCTTTTTAATAAGCTGTTAATAGACCAAAACCACTTCAGATATTTTTTTAATCTATAACTTTGACGTAGGTGTTTTTCTGCATGCTGATGGGTATTTTCAAGATCTGCAATTTGTAATCCCAGTGACCTAGGAGAACAAAATATGAAGTGTGGTATTTCTTGCAACTATATGTAACAACTGGAATATGTGAAACTCCAGAATTTAAAGAAGCCTGTTAGAGTTAAGAGAGTCTCTAACAAAATGGGAATGCTGTCAGAAATACATAAGTATTTTTGGAGAGGTGAACTTTACATCCACTTATAATAACTTGATTCTTAGACTTGTTGCTTAAAAGTTCTGGGTAATGCCTGTTGTCCCTGTGGTATGAGTCTGTGTTTCCCATATTTTAAAACAGCATAGACGAGGTTTATGAGTAAGAGTGCCTTGAGATGAATTGTTTCATTTTCTACCTGCGCCTTATTTTGTGATGCTTGATAATGTTGAATGAAGATTACCAAACTTTGAGAAAATTGTTCAAACTGTTTTCAAATGGTCTAACATCTTTTTCAAAAATAATTATTCTTAAGCACTGCAGGAAGCTTGTAAAGAACAGAGTGGATTCTATGCTCAGTTCTCTAAACTCTTCCCAATGCGAGTGATATCCTATCTGATGCTACCATATACGCTACCAGTGGAGTCTGCTTACTCTGTTGCTTTACGGTAAGGAACGTTTAATGAACTATTTTAGAATTACTACACTTTTGGGAGTGTACTTAATGAGAGCTTGTTCAGTGTCATAGGCATTCTGGTACCCCAAATTCAAGTGGTAACTGTCCAAAGACCATTATTTCTGCCTGCATAATGCACCCTCCTAAAGCCTCTGTAGTCTAAGGCTAGATAAATAAACATATTAAGAAGATGTTTAAACTATTTGCTCTTATTACTAGTAGCTGTCTTGTAATTGCTCGAAAGAAGCACCCTTAGTTGTGTTTTCCAGGACATTCTTTATTACTATATTCTGCAGTGGTATTTGAACTCTGTCCAGATAGGGCTTCTTTCTGAATATAGCTTCTTTCTGAATTCAGTAGTGAAATCCAGTGCCATATGCATTTTCTTACCAGGTTTGTTTAGGTTGACTGAAAGTTGTGGTCTTGAAACAGGGCTTAATTTTATAAGTTTTTTTCAATTTTCATAGAGGAGAAATTATGCTAAATGAAGGCACCATGAACCCCAGGCTTTGTGCTTGCTTAACAGAATGCCAGTCTTTGAACAGCAGATGTCATTACTGTCTTTAGAAAATACTTGAAAATTCAAATGTTCTGTAACTGGGGCCACATAGAACTCCAGTAAAATATTTATTTTTCTGTGGCACTTCTGTGCTAGTTTTTAGTGGATGGGGAGGAAGCAAGTTTCAACACAATTTTCCTGTGGGTTTTAACCCCTCGTCCCCCTGTGGTGTTACTGTCTTCTGGTGTTACTGTCTACTGTCTTCCTTTTCTAAGGAAAAAAATACATTTGTTCTGTTTCATTGTTCTGTTCTGTTTCTGCCTTCTGTTTGTTCTTCCATTGTGAATTTCTTTTGTTCTTCCTTCCTCTCCCACCCAACTTTAAACTGACCAGAAAGTTTCCACCACACACAAAGAGGTCTCAGAGACAGGAATTCTTTGCAGGCTTCCTAAATGTTGGTCATGAGGTGTAGAACGCACATACTTGTCAGCCACTCGGCATAGATCAGAGATGCAGCGGTCTGTGCTGCCCTTGTTCTTAGCTTGTAGAAAAGCAACGAGTGGACTAGATGGAAATTTAGAGAGGTTGTGAAGACCTGGAGACCTTGGTGTCGAGTTGACTTGTGGAGTATAAAGCTGTGTTATTTTGTTGGAATTTGGACGTGCTATGTAAGAATATAATGCAGATTGGATCTACTGCTTACAAAACAAGAAGTATATTTTGTTTTTGATTGTAGGTTAGTAAACTGGTTTCCTGACATGCCTGCTGATGTTCGATGGATGCAAGAACAGCTTTGTCGGATTGCTGGTACAGTTTATTCCCGGGCTAAAAGCAAGCTGTTCTGTACCTCCAGGTAAAGTGGAGTGCAGCTGGATGCAAATGATGCGTTTTTAGAAATTCTCTCTCTTTTGTCAGAGCTTCAAGTAGTAATAAGTTTCTCTCTTAAAACAGGATTGAATAATTTTCTCAAAGGTAGCGCAAAACAGTTCTCACTGCTTCTAATCCTTAGCATTGTTTCTTGAGTATATTTTCTGGTGCTTCTTGTTTATGACTGATCAATGACTGCTACGTACTGTAGATGAAGAGGTGTGGCCTGTTGGTAGGCTTATGCTTTTTGGGGAGAGGGGTGGATTATGGAGCAGGCATTGGACTGAGAACAGAGACTTTGCTTCTTCTCTGCTCCACAGTAGCTGGAGCAATGGGAAAGAAAAGAGGAGGAAAAGGTGGCTCAGGATGTTCTAAATCAGATGTAGCAGGTAGGAACTGGAAAACAGTGGGAGAAAGACTAGATTCTTAGGAGTCTGGACAGGAAAGGTTTTAAGAGTTAAAAAGTAGATGAATATGAAAGACAGTCTTGTAAGATGGTTGGGAAGAATTAAAATAAGACAAATACAGAGATTTTTTAGGAACTTTTGTTTCTGTGGAAGAGAAACCTCTGCTCTAACCTAGTTGTAATTAGGTTTGTTATGCTTCTCTTACCAAGCTGGCGTGAGATTTAGCCTTTCAGACTTTCTACTTCTGTTAAACTTTGTAGGACTATGTGTATGGAGGGATTGGTGACAGCTCACCTCGGTATGAATCTGAGAATACCATTACTGTTTGACTTTTTGCTGGGGAGTGTAGTATTTGCCCAGGGAGCTCTGCAAACCTTCACAGACTCAATACGACCAATATTCAGCTTTGATTTTCCTGCTAAAAAATGGACTTGTTGCTGGAACAGTGTTGCACAGCCATGTCAGAGTAGTGCTGTAAGTAGAGAAACATAGGTGCTCTCTGAGGTCCAAATGCTTACAGGTATGAAGTCTTCTAAGATTTAGTCTGAAAAAGCATAAATCCAGACTTCAGCAGAGGTGGCCATACCTATTTTACTGTGACTTTTCTGATGGTCTCAGCTCCTGGAGTTGCTGGGTAGGAGGTAGAAGAAGGGAGAGAGAAATTAGTCCAGAAAGCTGTTAGGAGTGAACAGGATTCTTAAAAGCTTCCAAGAGGTAACTGTAGCACTAGAGACTCCTAACTGCAGCAGTTACTTCAATTAAAGCATTGCCATGTTCTATATACAGCACATTTTTAAATTAAAATGAAAAACACCCTTTTATTTGTGCCAAGAGTTCTTGAGCTTTTGCCTTCCTGCTTGTAGGAATAAATTTAGATAAGGAGGAAGGTCATAGATGCTCTCTTTTGCCCTGGCAATGCACTGACCCATCGGAAATGCAGATTTGGTATGTCTGAGAAGAACTGCTTGATCCTACTTCCTTATAAGAAGCTTTGACAGGTTCTGGATTGGCATCGTGAAAGATCGGATTCGTATGCTCCATCCCTTCGAAGCACAGAGTAGTCAAACTCACTGTTAAAGGTTCTGGCTTACTGGAAGGCTTAACGAGGTTGAAGCTTGGGTTTCCTTCTCCCTTCAAAAGTATTAAATGGTGGCTTTAATATTAGGTTGTAAAGATACTTTCTTTTTACAATATTCAGTTTTTTCCGGACACATTAAATTCCTGTATACAAATAGCCTCTCTTCTCCCTCTCTGAAATCAGTTAAAGCCTTTTCTTGTCTAACACTAGTTGGCTTTTGAGGCCACGCCTCTGAGCAGAAACGTAGTTCTTGGTATATATTTGCTATCATCCTACCGTCATCTCTTCAGTTCTTGGATACCACATCTAATCCAGTGCCTTTTTTTCCTTCTTTCCTAAATGATATTCCTGACTCCTTTCCACAGTAAATTTAGGTATGGTCATCTTCCTGCTTTTGCCCTTATTTAGCAGCTTCTTGGTGATGCTCGTGTTCCAGCCGTAACAATCATGAAACTCTTCATCCGAAATGGGCATTTATCACAAGATTGTCTCAGATCTGACTTCTCAGAGGGGTTATTTGGTCACTGAGTCATAATTAACTGGACACATTGTTTCTCTTCTTGCTGAAAGAGAAGCTCTTGGCCATAAAGCAGAGCATTGTGGTCGTGGCTTTCACTGTACGCTTATGGTGTCTTCAAGGTGATCACCTTCCCCTGGACTGTTCACACTGTCAAACTTCTGAGTTTTCTGAAGCCTTCCTTTAAGTGGATTCCCTCTTCAGGTAGCAAGGTCCCAAGGCTCTGTGTGTAGAATACTGCATTGTATTCTACAGGTCGCTCTTTGTGGGCTTGTACTTTTGTTTCAGCATCCACCAAGAACTTACTGCTGCTTTTGCAGAAAGTGCCCCCACACCTTTTTTTTTTTCACACTCTTCCCTTTTTTTGTCATCAGATCTAGCTTCTGTTTTGGAATCAAACTTAAATCATGCAAATTTGCACTGTTTACAGTTTGAAAATCCTTTTAGGAAACTTAACATGGTGGATGCTATCTTCTAGTGCACCTGAACTTCAGGTATGGAAGCTGGTGTTGAAGTGTCTGTATGGCGAGTTGGGCATTTTTGTGTGTGAGAGGCGGTGTTGTGGGCTGTTTTGGGTTTTTTCCCAAAAGCACTGCAAGAGAGGAGGGAGAACTTTGAAGAAAAACCTGGGTATTCTTGGTGACAGCTTCTGTTTCCTGATTATCAAATTGGGAAAGACTAACCTGGTGATTTAGGTGCTGGTTTAGAGTCTAGGAAAATTCTGCTCCAGCTGTTCAGGTTGGTGATAATTAGCTGGTTGTAAAGTAGAATGCAGAGATGGCATTTGGGAAGCTGAACAACTGTATTTGCTGCTCGACTTGTAAGTGTTGAGAATGTTCTTGTTAATGTTCAGTTAGTGCTGCGATTGGTAAATCGGCAAATATTCCAAGTGGATAGCTGGGGGGGGAATCGGGACGATTTAAGAGATAATGTACAAGCTGAGTCTACTCCTCTGAGCTCATCAGAACGGTGTGACTTTTAGCATAACTATTTTATACCTACTTCTGAGGACAACACATAGTGGCAGAGTGCCCCTCTTCTAGATATGGTCGTTTCGAGATCCTTTTCCTGTTGTCCCATATCCTAACTCATTAAATGCATTTAGAATTAACCATTTTCCTCTAGGGTTATTCCTTATATGAAGATACCTTCCAGACATAAGAACAGTAGTAGAAACGTCACTGAAACGCTAATAACCTTTTCCTTTTTTCTTCTTTTAAGCAGGAAAGACAATTTTGCATCATTAAGAAAATGTCAAACTGTCCCATCTACTATGGAATTTCATTCTTCATACTGCCACCTTAAAATGCCTCACTCTTCTGCAGACCTTGAAACCTGGCTCTGGGAATCTTCATGCTTCGTGCACTCAGCTATGAAAAATGCTTCTCCTGACACGCAGGAGCATTCAGACTTGAACTCCTGTCCTAATTTTCTCCCAAATTCTGATGAGTCTGGTTTGGAAATAGATTTTGACTCTTCCTCAGAGACAAGTTTCCAAACTGCTCCAGAGTATTAATTTGGAAGTAGGTTCCACAGTTTCCAAAATTCCAATCTGGCAGAGAAATTTAAATCCTGAAGGATGAAAGATCACTTTATTGCCAATAAGTCTTGGACAATTATTTGTTTACAGCTTCTTGACAAACCTGCCTTTGGAATTCTACTGTTTAAGGATTATAAAAACAGTGGCTGCTATACTAAGTAACAGACTACAATTCTGTCACAGCACCAGCTCAATCAACTGTAGTAAGACTTGTAGGAAACAGTGTCTCTCTGGAAATAAATTTTTTAAAAATCTACTTTCAGCATAAAAATGTAAATTCTTTAAACAGATTGATAGAAAAAACAAGCAATGATAACAAAAGCTTTTTAATAATACAATTCTTAACAATATTATGTGTGAGGATCACTTTTGTAGCACTTAAATGTAACTGGACTTTCACTTCATAAAGGGAAATACACAAATGAGCTTCTTGGCGGCCTCCGGTATCCATTTGCCTTACATTTAAACATCTTGAATTGTTTATGGAAATTGTCTGCATGAGGTACTGTAGGAACAGTATTATTCTAGGTGGCTGTACGCATTCCACTGTTCATACTTCTCCTCTATGGCTCTCTGCCCCTTCAAATACTTAAAGGGAAAAAGACAAAAGAAATGGGGTGCGTTCCGCTGAAGTGTAAACAGGGACAGTTTCAGTGATTTCAGAGGACTTCTTTTGTGCTTAATAAGGGCTTAATACTAATACCAAGTATTGACAAGTAGGTAAAACAGTGACTGTGATTAGTAGCAAACAGTAATTTGGGAAGGTGTTAAACTTTATGGAAGATGTTAACAAAAATCAACGTGTAGCAGCTGGTGAATGATGTTTAGGTTTTCTGTCTCAGTGCTGCCCAATCGTTCTTGATTCCCCCCCCTCCCTGCCCCCAATTTGAGAGATTTTTTTTCTTCCCCCTTGCTAAAGGAAGGAAGAAAAAAGGTTCCCTCCTGTCTTAGTGAGGTGTGATAATGCAAAGGAAGCTTTCTGAGGCCGATTGCTAGAAGAAGCAAACGTGTAAGACTTCGTGGAAGCGTCAGTGTCCAGGGAGCTGTGCAGAGGTCTCAGACAATGGGCTGAAAGTCAGCCAGGTAATACCTGTGAGCGTTTTAAACACTTCCCACTCCAAAGGTTCTGCATAATTTTAATAAAGACAACGCATTAGTCTATAAATACATCAGGAGAAGTACAGAACTGTGAAGATTAACTGCTCTCTTGATGTTTTGTTACCACGTCTTGCACATTTTTTTTAAAGTGGAAGGAAGCGATGATGGCTTTGAGTTTGCGCGTGTGTTCGGGGGCAGGCGTGGGACGTGGGAGAGCTGCTCACTCAGGACTGTGACTTCTCTGCACCCTGGGTGCTGCCCAGCAGAGAGCCTACAGGTGCTTACGGAAGGAGAAGCAGCGATTGGATCGTGATGCTCGGGAGGGGGAGCTCTGGAGTGTGAGCTTCCGTATCCGGAGGTCTGTCAGATATGAAAATGCAGCATTTTTTGAACTGGACCAGCCTTTAAGCAGTTTCTCAGTTGTAATTTCCCTAAGCTTTAAGTGCTAAATTTTACAACATTAAAATTTTTAGAGTGGGTGTGGGACAGGGGGGACATGTCAAGCTGTCCCTTTCCACGCTGCAGGAGACTGGTGCTATTTTACTTCAACCCTTGTTCATTTCTTCTGTGTGTGTACCTTCAAATTTGCAAGAAAAGTCGGAAATGTTACTCTAACTACAATTAAAAGACACAAAATCTGTTTTATATTGTCTGTATTTATGACTTTAAACTCTGTGTAATTTACTGGGGTGATGTTCAGCACAGTGTCAGTTTAGCAGCGTGTGTGAGTGCCAGGGTTTGCTCCCTTTCCGGGTACCAGAACGGCTCCGTGCCCTGCGTTCAGCGGCCGCTTCCTCCGTCGTCTCCTTTTTCTGAAGTGGAGACGGTCTCGCCTGACGCCGCGTTTCCTGCGCTGCCCGGCGCGAGCTCGCCTCACGGAGCGTTGGAAAGGTTTAATGCGAGCGCGGTGAGATCGTGAGGCGTGAAGCTGCCGGGAGAGGCCGGGCGGGGAGCCCCGGGAC